CTGCTATATCCTTCCTTGCTGGGCCTCTGCTGGGCAGCAACAATGAGAGTGAAGGGAAGGGTGCCTAGACACTAGGCAGGTAGGCTCTTCTGCACTGTAGCTGAATGCTATTCATGGGAATAGCACTGACTTCAAAGAAATCTCTTTGTGTGGGTTTAATGAGCCCCCCTGGGAAGCTCCTGATGTGAATGGGAATCACGACTTGATATAAAAGTGAAAGATTATGTGTCAGCGGGGATGATTTGATTCTTAATGCAGTGTTAATTTATTTGCTGTGATTTCACACATCTGCTTTGGCCACAATACCATATTACATTAATCCCTGAGATATTATTACACATAGGTATATTCTGTATATACAAGGTAGTCAGGGAATGGGAGAATTTGTATATGTAATTGTTTAAAAAGGATATATACTCTTTTATTCAACGAACTAGCAGGCAGAGGATTTTAGATTTCCCTACCATTTGGATACATAATCTCTTGGTTATAAGACATGATTCGGCATTTGGGTCCATGAGATGGCAAAATAATTTTGAAGATAGCAGATTCTGGAGAATCTTAGATCACAAAGCAAGCAACTATATTTAGGGCTACTTAAGACTGGTAGGTTGGACAGCTTTACTTTCTTTGGACACATTACTTCATAAATTTTGTCTGAACAGCAAAAACAAGTGTTTCCCTAAACATTTGAACTGAGGCTTATACATAGGGAAGGACACACGAAAGAAAAAAAGAGAAAAACCATTCTGCAACAAAGAAAAATAGATTCCATCTGCCACTTATGTCCTTTTGAGTCTCCCAAGACAGGTTGAGGTTGCCCCTTAAGAAGACAATTTGATGGTTTCATTAGGAAACAGATGTATATAGGCCACTGGGGGAGATAAAGCTCAGTTAATCCTAGCTGTTTGTGAATGAAATGTAGGAGAGTTCAACACAGAGATCAATTCCAAATCAAATGCAGTCCCTCCCAAGCCACACAAATTTCAGGAGGCTACAGATGCTGGCGCTTCCCAGGGCAGAAGTATCCAGGACTGAGCTCAGCTCGCCAGGGTTGCCTCACTGATGCTGCAGCCCAAGCCTTACCTGCTCAGCAGCACTCCCCTGGTTAGTTCAGCAGGTGTCTAGACTGCAGTAATGAGAGAAGAATGGAAGTGAGGGCAAGGGACTGGTGGTTAGCAAGAAGGCTGTGTACTGAGGGGTCCAGGCTATCCTAAGTGTGTAGGAACTTTCACTTTGCAAAGGGCAACCCTTTCTTCTCTGTGACTTGAATATTACTTGTGATTGTGGAGGAGACCCAGGACACACTTCTCCTCAGGAAAAGTGCAGCTCTGCCAGGCGGAGGGGACTAGAGAGCCAGAATAGCTGACCTTCTCTTTCAACAAATGTTTGAGTTTAAAGACACTATGAAAAGAACCATGATATATGAGCATGCTCTCTGATCTCTAGGAATTTACGGTCCAGTAGAATAGAAGTCAGTAGATTAATGTTCATTCTTACAACATATACAAAGCTCCTACGAGGTTTCATTTACCAAACATATGCAGCTGCAAAGCTAAAAGGTTCACCTGGGAGTCTGTGGTTGAGAAGAGAATGAAATTTTGAGCACATATAAGGATAAGAGCAAATCCAGACACCCCATATAGTAAATGGAATCATTGTTAGTAGCTCTACATTCTCTCCTGTATTATAACATTCAACCACACCCTTTGCTCCATGCCTTTGCAGTTTTCCCCACTAGATGTGGAGAATATTTCCCCACTCTGTTAATGGAAAATACTCTTTGGTAAGACATAGATTTGCAAGGTCAACAACCTAGGTATTTTTTTCCTCTGAATGTTTGGAGCTGAGCATGTTCCCACTTTAATTCCCCTTTTCTTCTTCAAATATCACATTTTTTTCATACTTTTAAATAATTTCGATCTTCTCTAGGATTTTGAATACCACATTGTTCATAGCTTTTCCTTTGCTACCCATATGATTTTAGGGAAGCGATCTAAGCTTTGGGTCAGTTTTAACATCTATGAAACAAGTGGATGATAGATTTCCTTGTCCCTAGGATTCATTCCTGCCCTAATAGTCATGGAACTAAAAGTTCTCAGGTTTTTATTGTTTTTGGAGCCATGGATGAGAACCCATTAATAATACAGCTACCTCAATCTTGTTTCCACAGATTTCAGAGTTGGTATGGGATTGCAGCATCTGTATTTTTAGTGAAGATTCCCAGACAGTCTGTTTTGCAGCAAAGTTTATTCTATAAGCATTCTATGAATTTCAGTGTTTTTCATCCAAAACTATTACTTTAATAAACAGAATGGCTTTTAAACAAGAGGTAATGGAAAGAACTTTCCAGTTTCCTTAAATGGGCATCTTCAATCAGAGAGAAGTTGAGATAATCAGAATCTATCAAGATGAGACAATGCCCTGAGGAAACAGAGATGCCCGGATCCACAGAGAACCATTTCACATCTAATGCACATTTAATGCACATTTGTTTTATCAGAACAAACTATTAATTGAAAATGGAGTTGACTGGACTTGAAGGAGGAAGTACAATGTAGTAAGTGTGAAATTTATGAGTGGTTATTGAAAATAAAAATGGTTATTTCCGAAGTGTGGTGGTGATCCTAAGATTTTTATTTAAAAGTAGCCTACACAGTCCAATAGATGAGTTTTTAAATATAGGTTCTATATATATGTGTCTTTGTGCATTTATACACCTATGTTGTTTACACATGTTTCAGTCATAGCGTGGTGCTTGAAAATTGCATTTTCTGCAGTCTATGTTCTTAGGATCATAATCTTTAACGGTTTGGGAAAGTCAACACATAAAATGACAATTTTCAGTTGTGCAGCCTATTTTAGGACATTTAAAGATGTTAAACAGATTTCCCTTTGGACTTACTCATTCCCTCCTTGTCTAAGATCATTTACTATAAAAGAGTCTGCCAGACAAGGAGGGAATACAGGGACCTAGGGCCAAGCGGAGTAGAAGAGAAACCTGGAAAAACACACCAAGTTTGGGCTAGGGGATCACATTCCATCTGGAAGCTAACTGGACAATAAGATATCCATTGGTCCTCACCCTTGAACCTCCTCTGTGTTCAGAAGGAAACTAAGAAATGCCTGCCCTAGTCCTAATGTTTCATTTACACTTCATCCCTCTCTCCATTGTTAGTGGACACGTTTACTCCTTTGCAGTGAAAGGCTGCTTTCTTGGGGTAAAGATGTCAACCCTAGCAGAGGATTTCAGTGATCTTTCTGGCAGCGAAGCTTATGCCATGTGTTTAAACATCATTTTATGAAGAAGTACGCTGTGAGTGGACTCAGGGACATGCCCTGCACCTTTCTTCCCAGTCCCTGGGCCACCAGCTACCCAACCACCTCGGTTGTTCCAGAAGTGAAGGCTCACCATGGTGTGGCTTATATAATACACATATGTGCTATGATCCCTGTGGATAATTAAGGCTAGGTCCCTTTATATGCCTAGGACAAGTTAGCAACCCTTTCACGGTTGTGTTTTCAAAAGGATGACAACTACTTTCCCATTGTACTTTTGTATATTTACATCAAATACTCCTAACTACAGTGTCTCCTAATACGGACCCCTGGGCTAATTAACAGCTTAGTGTGATTGTTTCAGTTTTTCAGCGACCAATTAAGTAGTTGCTCTAGACAGAACTGACAACACAATGTGAATTTTAAAAACTGCGATCTGCTGGTTGAGGGGAGAAAGCCAAACCCAGTAAGGAAAGTGGGGGCAGGGCAAGGCTGTGAGTGGCTGTTTCTGCTAGCAGAACACTGGGTCTTAAATTCAGATTAAATCACAGCTTACCTGACGAGTATCCCCCGCCCTTCCCACTAGTAAAATAATAACAATAATTTAAAAAGAGCAGAGCATCTGGGTTAGTGCAAGGGGAAGCGAGACCTTTAACCATAGCCAACCCACTCGCTCATTGCGAGGCACCTGTTAGATGCGCTCTTGTACCCTGATCCCCATACAGAGAGACAGCTCCCCACCTGCATTTACCCTTCAGCCTAAATAGATTCCCATCAAGCCTTTCCCACTTCATTGTCGGATCCACAGAGGCACCGAACCGCAGCCACTCTCCAGAAGCACTCTCAGCCCCTCCGTCCCCTAAGGGAGATTTAAAAGTGGTCGCCCCCACTCGCCCTCCCTCAGCCAGCATCTCCATCTAGGGAAGGAATTTCAGTTGTCTCCCGAAGGCCAAAAGCGAAAAGGTGAGGGATGCACCGAGAGAAGGGAAGATACCCACTCACTCCCCTCCCTACTCACCCACGCGTCCGCTCCGGCTCTTCCTCCGCCTGCTTGGGTCTGGCGGTCAGGTGAGGTTACCTGGGCTCCCCGAGAAGCCCCGAGGGGCGCTGCAGTCCTTCTTTTTCGAAATCCCCCCGCTCCCCGCCGGGCCCCCAGGACTCTTGCCCCTCTCCCCCCCGCGCGCGTCCCCGGCCCCTCGGGCTCCGACGCGCAGCGACAGCCGCACGGCGCGCTCTGCTCCCCTCCGCCGACCTGGCGTGACGCAGGCGGAGACTACTTAAGGGCGGATTAGAGGCGGCGGCCGCGGATCCCCGGCCCGGCATTCGGCTCCGCGCGCTCCGCCCCGGCCTCGCAGGCTGCCGCGCCGGAGCGCCAGGTGCCCGCCGAAGTAGCAGGAACAGAGCGGGTGCCCGGACCCTCCCCCGGCCCCCAACCTGCGGCGGAGAGCGGCGCCGAGACCTCTCCTGGGCGGGCGAGCGCTCGAAGACCTGCAGGCTGCCACCCCGCCCCTCGTCCCGGCGTCCGCGGGATCCAGACCCGAAGCCCGGACGGCGCCCGAGGTTCGTGCCCTCTCTCTGGACCGCGCCAACTGCCCCATCGGTCCGGACGCACTTGGATTTCTTTCCCCATTTCTTCTCTTTTAAGTACAATAAAAGGAAAGGGGGATTCGAGGATTTTTTTAAAAAATTGCTTCTTTAATTGGGAGGCAATTCACTCCCATTCTGGAGGTGCGACCCGGGGAGGGGCCAGGAGCGGGAACGTGCCCGGTGCTGCCCAGTCTTTGTCTGCTGCCTCCGGATGCACAGCGATGGGGGAATGGACCATCTTGGAGAGGCTGCTGGAAGCCGCGGTGCAGCAGCACTCCACTATGATCGGGAGGTAAGGGCGACAAGCCGGCAGTCAGCGGGCCCCGTCGGGCGGCCCCGGGAGTCCCTTCTCACACCCGGACTGAATCCCCCGCTCCAACCCCCAGCCCGTCCTCTGCCTCCTCCCCATCGTCCTAAGTCAAGGCTCCGGTGTTCCTGGCGATGAGGGATTACCCGACGCCCCGCGATGCCCCCCTCCTCTAGCTACTCCTGACCGACTGCCCATCCCTTCCCCATCAAGCACCACTGGGGCTTCACTCTTCCCACATCAGAAAAGAAGCTGCTGGCTCAGTCTTGGTCCCTCCACTCTCCAGAGTCAGAGCCAATCTCCATCCGGTTCCCTAAATAGAATCTACAAAGAAGGCAGGATTGCATTTGGACAGAGAAGGGCAAATGGGGAAATGGATTTGCTCTTCAGAGCAGATGCCTCTTTTCTCAACAAATAATTACTAAACTAAACTTATTTGGCCGTGTAAACTTACCGAGCCTACACACCCAATTGCCATTTTTGTGTCTGTATATCTATGTCTCTATCTACATATATATGTAGAGTTCAATATATATAAATATATATTCATAGCCATCTGCTTATATAAAGCATTAAATTTAATATTCATGTTGAGAATAAACTAAATATACCCATGGAGTAGTTATATACACACACCCTGTGTATAGACCTTGAAGCATGCACCGTCTGTAAAGGTATTCTGTGTGCATTTGCCATATCCAGAGTGAAGGTGTGTTTTGTGTTTCTATACATTCTATACAGAGAGATGAAATCTATCTGTTGCGAGTAGACTATGTCCAGTGTATGATGTTGTGTGTACCTGGGATCTCTGTAATATGAAATGTTCCCAGCTTACCAGCACTCAGCAGAAAAGGAAGAGACAAAAAGCTTTCCCAGATTCCCAGTTCAGTACCAACCCGGGATGGACAGCTCCCCAGTCAAACGACTGGTAAACATCAGCAAAGGGAAGGGAGGAGCAGGGGTTTCCTGTCAGTGACGCAGCCCGTGAGAACCTCTCTCCCTCCCTCTTCCTCTGCTCAGGATCCTGTTGACTGTGGTGGTGATCTTCCGGATCCTCATTGTGGCCATTGTGGGGGAGACGGTGTACGATGATGAGCAGACCATGTTTGTGTGCAACACCCTGCAACCCGGCTGTAACCAGGCCTGCTATGACCGCGCCTTCCCCATCTCCCACATACGTTACTGGGTCTTCCAGATCATAATGGTGTGTACCCCCAGTCTTTGCTTCATCACTTACTCTGTGCATCAGTCCGCCAAGCAGCGAGAACGCCGGTACTCTACTGTCTTCCTAGCCCTGGACAGAGACCCCCCTGAGTCCATAGGAGGTCCTGGAGGAACTGGGGGTGGGGGCAGTGGTGGGGGCAAACGAGAAGATAAGAAGTTGCAAAATGCTATTGTCAATGGGGTGCTGCAGAACACAGAGAACACCAGTAAGGAGACAGAGCCAGATTGTTTAGAGGTTAAGGAGCTGACTCCACACCCATCAGGGCTACGCACTGCATCAAAATCCAAGCTCAGAAGGCAGGAAGGCATCTCCCGCTTCTACATTATCCAAGTAGTGTTCCGAAATGCCCTGGAAATTGGGTTCCTGGTAGGCCAATATTTTCTCTATGGATTTAGTGTCCCAGGGCTATATGAGTGTAACCGCTACCCCTGCATCAAGGAGGTGGAATGTTATGTGTCCCGGCCAACTGAGAAGACTGTCTTCCTAGTGTTCATGTTTGCTGTAAGTGGCATCTGTGTTGTGCTCAACCTGGCTGAACTCAACCACCTGGGATGGCGCAAGATCAAGCTGGCTGTGCGAGGGGCTCAGGCCAAGAGAAAGTCAATCTATGAGATTCGTAACAAGGACCTGCCCAGGGTCAGTGTTCCCAATTTTGGCAGGACTCAGTCCAGTGACTCTGCCTATGTGTGAGAGGGAAGTTTTCACGAAGGTCTGGGGGATAGCAAGGAGCCCCAAGGCAGATGACTGCTCAGAGGTGGCTGTATCCACCCTCATTTATGTGACTCTCACCATTAAGATGTAGGATAAGACTGGATAAAAGAAGATTTTGCATCAATGGGAGAGGAGGAAAAGTGGAACCATTTTCACATATCACCTAATTGGTTCCACAGAGACAACTGGGTCAAGTGATGAAATGGATGAATTGGACTTCTTTGGGCCCTTTCTGTTTATGGCCCAAGCCTAATCCTGATAACACTGAACTTGCACAGCTACCAAGTAGGACTTAGCCCTGCTGAGCTCTTTATTCTGGTGAATGATGTGAGTTGAGTACTTCATTGATATAAAATTTGTGACCTATCTCAACACGTCCCTTTATCCTGAGCCATGGGACAAACATCCTTGAGGCACCCTTCATGTATCTCCCCCACCAGCATGCCCCTTTTCCTCAATCCAGAATAGCATGCCAGCTGTTTTTTTCAGAATCTGGCCTTACATTAGACCTAATATTGTTTATTTGCAAACTTAGAGGGAATTACATGGGGTGCTTACAGGAGAATGGCCATGGCAGAGGTTTTCATTACAGCCCCATCTCACTGGCCCTTAGTCATGATGAAAACCTTAGGAATGTCTCAATCTTTCCAATTTTCTAACTCAAACTGCACTGGTGCTGTTTATTAGGGATGGGGGATGGGGGATGGGGGATGGGGGATGGGGGATGGGGGATGGGTGGGAGGGAGGGAACCGCAATATGCAACTACAACACTTTTGTGAGATTGTTGTTGCACTGTTAGGCACACGGTTACGAGCTTCAGGTTATTTCTGCCTTTCAGCTTGTGGGCTTTGGTTAAGATTAAGAAGATTTTTTTTTGGCTAATATCAAGGATGTCTACCTGAACCACAGCATTTGTAACTGGTGTATCTCACTCATTTTCTTACATAGTTTTGTTGTGCAACACAGCTGCACGGTCATTTTGCCATGATTTGAATTTACCTGTGTGCTTACACCAGAGACCTTAATCATCCCATGTCAATCCTGATTTATTATTTTTTCAGTTATTTTTTGAAACACACACACATACACACACACATACAAAATTACTGGCTTAAAAGACCTGGAACTAAACACTATTGGCTAACATGTGTTTACGGTGACTTATTTGAGACATATACCAAAGGTTCAAAAACCTATTGCTTTGGACTGTGAATATGTTTCCTTCTTTTTGCTCTTATTTAAGTGCCATACTGTATCTTTCATATCCACTGTATATTTAGTTCAAATATTGACCAAGAGAAATATCTGGGTAATGTGCTTTTATGAAGCCCTTTGTTCCCTTTGAATTATCATTATCATTTTTGATTTAGATATGGACATGGTGTAACACACAACTAAGGATTTGTTTAAAATAAAATTCTTGCCTTTTTTTGTAAAATAGGAAGAGTCTGCACTTTTTGATTGAGAGTATATTTATTTAAATGCACGATCAAAAATGTTATAACAGCAAAACATTGGGGGTAGGAAGTAAGTGATGGTTGAATATTTGAGGAATGACCAATAAAATTCAATCAGCCACAAATCAATGTTTTATGAATGTTCATAAGGGAGTGGTGAGATATTCAAATAGTATTATTAATAACTCCTTTCCATTTCAGCTCAGAACTTTCCCTGCTTGTCTATTTCTTATAACACAAATGTCAATACTACATCATATTAGCCCATTCCAAGAGTGGAATTTGTTTTTCTTTCCACCACATTTTTTTTCCTGCCATGGATTAATCATTACACTTGGCAGGCATGCTATTCTCTCCATGATCTCTTCAGGGTCTGAGTATGATGCTTAACACAATGCTAACCCGGTAGTCAAGCAGATCTCTCTAGACCAGTGCTGCCAGTAGAACTTTCTGTAATGATGGGGATTTCTTTTCATGAGGCCCAATGTGGCAACAACTAGCCACATGTGACTACTGAGCTCTTAAAACATGGCTAGTGCAAATCAAGAACAGAATTTCTAATGTTGTTTGATTAACTTAAATAGCCATGTATGGTTAGTTGCTGCTCTATTACACAGCACATTTCTTAGTGGGTTCTTCAAAGGAGATTGATCCTTTATTTACATGTCATAAGACATTACTTTTTAGCCACAACATTTTACCCTCATTTTTGGTATTTTCTGCCTACATGTGGTCCCATTATTTCAGCAGGCTAGTGTTCTTTCTCAGTTCTTCACTTGATCTTAGCCAAAAGGCCAAGAAGCGATCTTTCTCAATTCTTTAGTGCTACTCACCTTCTAATTCCAATGAGCACTTGGCTTGAACATTGTGAAGCAACGTAGGGTTTCCTGGACGATTGCTTTTCAAACACGATTGTTGCATCTCAACTATGACAGTACAGATGCCAACTTTAGAATGAAAATATGTTCATTTCAATCTATAGGTTTCTATCTGCAGTATAAATAAGCAGTTGAAGATGATTATCCTTGAGTAAAGAAACAGATCCTCCTCCGTTTTGTGTTTGGTAAGCTAAAAATGTTTTAAGACGTCTCCCAGAGATGGAGGAAGAGTGTTGCTTGAGAGCTCTTAGCATATGCTTGGGTGTGAAAGAAATAGGAATCTGTGTGGAAAACAAGGTCTGTTGTATTTATGCCTTGATGTAGGATTAGAAGAACCGTAGTGTTTCCTGGTAGAAATGCATCCCATATCAGTGGGGTTGATCTATTTCAGTTCTGTGATGTTTCCCAACACCTACAAATGGCAAAATTATTAATTCACTTGTCAGCAATGGAGAAGAAAACACTTTCTTTCAGAGTATAGAGTCTTCCCTCAGAATGACCATTGGTGTCGGTCTTTTGCTTTCTATGTAATAAAGAAAATACACTGACAATTTTACGGTTCACATAGCTACGCGATAGGTGTAACCTTAATTTGTGTTTTGTGAGAGAACATCACTGATACAGCCTCTTAAATTTAAGAGACCTTTGACGAACTGAAGGCCCTCTTGGCCTGTGCACAGCTGTATGTGAGCGCATATGTGTGCATGTGTGCGCGTGTGTGTGTGTACACTGGCTAAGTAGTGGGTGGCAGTGCATCAAATTGGTTTAAAAGTTTGGAGAATAGCCTGGAGAAATTGAAGTTGCTTAACCTGAGGAAAGAAAAGCTGAAAGGGTGGAATTTGTAATTTGTAAGTGCTTAAATATTTAAAGGGTAAAAAATATTTTTATATTTTAAAGGGATAGGGATAGTTGTAAAAAATATGAGGGATAGTGACCTCTGTGGACAGAGAAAAATGACTGGACTTAAAATCTAGGTGGGAGTGGTTTTAAAAGCACTAGAAAGAACATTGTTACTTTTTCACCTCTCTCTCTCTCTTTTTTTAACTGTTTTTCTCTGCGGGGAATACCTGTCCATCTACCTCCTTTCACTGGATGTGTTCCTCTGCACCCATTAAAAATCAGTTTGGCTGTCCCCTCACCAAGGAACCTATTCTAACCCTCCTCCAGTCTGGCTTAGTGCTCTTGCTCTGAGTCCTCACAAAAGTCACTTTGCTGGTAACTTGCTGTGTGGAGATGAAACAATTCTAGATCAGGGCATGGTTCCTTGAGGACAGAAACTATGCTTTACCCATTGTAACCATATACAACATTTATTGTCATCGTCTCAGTGTTTCATCTGAGAATGGTCTTATAAGACTCAGAATGTATGAAAGCTAAACACATCCGGTGAAGACATTAAGGAAAACCTTTTGTAGTACAGTTGAAGAAACCAAAAGATCTAAACTCAAGACAGCAGGTTTTTAAAAAAGTGCTGTAAGCATTCGTCTTGGAGGGTTGGAAAACTTTATTTAGAGGGAACTTAGAAAACATTATTTACATTGGTTTTGTTTTCTTCACATTAAGTGTATTAGTTCGCTAAAGCTGGTGCCATAACAGAATACCACAGATTGCCTGACTTGAACAACAGAAATTTATTTTCTCACTGTTCTAGAGGTTGGAAGTCCAAAATCAAGCTGCTGACAAGTTTCGTTTCTTCTGAGGCCTCTCTCATTGGCTTGCAGATGATCGTCTTCTCACGATGTCTTCACATGGTTGTTCCTTTATGCATCTGTAGCCGTGGTGTCACCTTGTGTGTCCAAATTTTCTCTTCTTATGAGGATACCAGTCAGACTGAATTAGAGCTTCTTAATCACCTCTTTAGAGGCCCTGTCTCCAAATAAAGGCAGGTACTGGGCATTAGGATTATCAATATGTGAATTTTTGGTGTGTGTGTTGCAGGGGGTTGGCACCACTCAGCCCATAACACAAATTTTCACGTCTTTAGGTACCCTTATGGTTGGGCGGATTACATGATTTCTTGTTCAAAATTGGATACCTTTGAGGATGAAAGGGTCAGGGTAGCCAACTGGATGGAAAGCCAGAACAATGGGTAGAAATTTGGTCTGTCCTGGGCAAACCCAATTGTACGGATACCTTACTTAAGATAATAACCAAATATTGAGCTCCTGCTACAGGGCCTGGAATCCTGGAAACACAGGGATAAAAACACTTAAGTCTCAGTTTTTGAGAAGGGCTATGAAAAAGCAACTTCTCAGAAAAAAAGAGCAACATTTATGTCAATGAGTAGTGGAAAAATAGTACAGTAAAAACACTGATGCCCTTGCCCCACTCCAGACCTCCTATCTTAGAATCTCTGATGCCGTAGGCTGGGCATCAGTATTTTAAATTTTCACACTCATAAGGTTGAGATCAACTGAGTCAGAGCAATAGCACAAGATTAAGAGAATCTCTTATTTGGAGGATAAATTATGGCAGAAGGAAAAGGGAAGTGGGAGGCTCTCACAGCAGAGCTGCGCTTGTTTAAATCATTAGTGATGAGAATATTAGTGATGAGAAGCTGTGGATGGAAGACTAACCACAATTTTCAGGGCTTGAGCAGTGAGAGCAGTGGCCATGGATGCGACTTTCATGGTGGCAAGATGGGCTGGCCATGGGTAGAATCTGGAGTGGACAGAGGAGGAAGCACTAAGACAGAGGTTGAAAAGAGCCAGTTAGCAAACCGGAGTTGTAGGGCAGTGTCATAAAGGTAAGGGAGGTGGAATCTCCAGGAAGAAGATGTGGTATTAGTATTCAATTTTACCATGTCTTTAACCAGATGAAAGAGCAAAATAGAGGCTAGGTAAAGGACTCAATCACATCCACTAGATTTGTGAGTGGTCTGTGAGAAAATGGAGAGAGGGAGCACAGGCTATCCTTTGCCTTAGATACTTCCAGACCTCCTGCAGGTTGGATGGAAACAATAAGGGCAGGCAAAGGGTAAATTATCAATCCCATTGCAGCCAATGCTCTGACAGCCCACCAGGCATGGCGAGCCAGATGTGGGGAGTCAGCTTCGTGACTACCCAATGGTTTATGTTCATTTAGTGGTTACCCCCCAGATGGAGTGTGTGTTGGCTAAGACAGACCTGGCTGAACTGAACCTAAATGAGTAGTTAAGGCTAAAATGTACACAGTGGCTCTTGTCAGCTTTGGGTAACAAGGGCTGTAGGTAAGGACAGTGAATAAATGCAGAGGCCTCTGAGAGGACAGTGGAGCTGAATGTCAACACATGAGTTACTGACGTGACTCAGATCCGCTGTTCACCCCCGCCAGTGTTCTGAGTGTCTGGTAGCTGTGGCCAATGAGGTGGTGAGAAATGG